CTCTCTCTCTCTCTCTCTCTCACTCTCCATCCATCGTGTGAGTGAGGAAACTCGGTGAGGGGGCGTGTCGGAGGGGGCGTGTGAGCTGTCATTGGTCACATGACCCGGAAGATGTGGGGCTTCATCCCTGTGTTAAACTGCTCTCAGCTGCTGAGCTTCTGTCCTTCGCAGTCCAGACCCTCCGTTCTCCGCACCGCGACCCCCGACCTCAGGGCGAACTCTCCTCAGCGCACCATGGCGGGTAAGACACACCGGGGCCTCCGTCGACACTCGCGGCCGCCGCACCGACACCGGAACACGGCCAAGGCTGCACGGAGCGAACCCGGCGCTGCACGAACTGTCCATGTCACGAAATATCGCGAATTTCCATAAACGCCGCAAAAAAAAAAAAGAAAACCCTCCGGTGCTTCTGCTGCTGCAGGTGGACTGAGATCACATGGTGGCTCCAGGGTTCACTTCCTGCTGAGCTGATTTAAAGGTTTCATCTGATCCGTGTTGATGAGTCGCTGCAGCGGATGGACCAAAGTGGTTGATAGATATAAAACAAAGCACATCCGGTTATTATTTTCAGAGTTAAACCGTTTTCAATGCAATCAGTCCTGAGAAACACACCAGGTGCAGAAACCAGATTAATAATCTGTCCGTCTATTACAAACAGTTCAGTTGAAGTTCATTTAAAACAAAAGAGACAAGCATCAAATCATCACATTTTAGAAGCTGGAACCAGAAAATGTTTGGTTAATTCGATGGATGTTTTAATTGTGATCAGAATGGAGTGTTTCCTGGTCAATTGACTCATTGATGAAATGACTAATCGTTGTAGTCCTACTTTCTAAAGTGCCTTTGTTTGAATGGAGTTTTGCCTCCACGTTCTGTCTCACACTGCCACTGCACTTTAAAGTCTGGGGCCAATTATTTCAATATGTGTTTAAATGCAGAATAAATTGATTGATTTTCACTGAAAAACATAATGTTGTGAAAAGACGCCTGTTTAAAATACAACTTTAAATGTTGTGTGTGCTTAAGATTTTAATGAAAAATTTCTACCGCCTGCCTATTTCTTCATCTGTAATGATTCCGGTTCACTGGTTTAAAAAAAAAAAAGCAAGATCAGCTGAAATTCAAACTCCACTAAAAAACCTGGTGGATGCTGTTGTTTGGCCATTTTGTTCAACTCGCATGCACTTTTATTTTTAAAGCATTCATCATTGACTTCCTGGGCTAATGTGGGCCCATGAAGCAAATTGACAGTTCCTCTGTGGTGGACGTGCACTTCAGTGTGTGGCCATGAAGGCCTTTCTCTAATGCAGTGAAAGGCTCATTGCATCACAGCATTTAATGTCTTTTACTTCAAAAAATGTTGATGTGTTGATTTTGAACTTAAATATTGTAACTACTGATATTGATGTCCGATCAAGATGTGGAGAAGTCGTCAGCTTTCACGTAGCCACAGAACACATCACATGCTTCCTGTGACACTGAGCTCGCACACTTTTGATAAACAAGTTTCCTTTAATACAACCCCAGCAACCATACGACACTCCCACTCTGGTCAGATTTCCCAGAAGCCCCCTGACAACACACGCATTCAGCCTGGGGAATGCTATCTGCTGGCTCTGGGCCTACTTTCACTCAAGCAGCAACACAGTGCGTCCCCTGCTGTTAATATATGCATGGGGACCCGTCAGACACTGAAGTTCACACAAGAGGCCTGCAGATGCACTGGGTCTGGTGCAGTGGGTTCTACCGTTTATTCACTTTAACAGCAAACCCTGTAGAATGAAAATGCTCGGAAAAGCAGCCACATGTGAGGAGCATGGACCAGTGTGGTTTGAGAAAACAGTGTTTTTACATAACTGGTGTTGATTTTATCGACGGCAGAATTACTAAGTTATCAATCGTTTCAACACTCTAGTGCAGGAAGTGAGTCTGACGCTTGTGTGTTGTTTTCATGAGTCAAGCAGCAGTGTGCATGAAACTTGGGTTATGTGTTACCGTCCATATCTGTGGAGGAAGCTGTAAAAACTAATTATGGGTTATCTGGCTTTTCGTAAACTACTCTCATGTGGGCGGAAAGGACGCTGACACTGTTTGACTCAGTAAAGGTTACTCTGTGTAAATTTGTATGGTGTCACTTGTCTATTTAAGTACAAATGAGTACTGATTTTATATTCTTAAAGCTTCTTTCTTTACTTTCTTCTCTCAATGTGTGTGTGTGTTACCCAATGAGTTATCTACAGGCTCCAGAAAAACTCTCATTGTACCTGTACAGTGACAATAAAAAAAAAAATCTCTTACAGTATTGTCACACTTTAATGCTCAGAGCATGGTACACAAGACAAAGGTTAGTTTGTAATATGCACCCCGATGGGAAGCTGTTCTTTCTCTTTATACATCTGGCTCGTTCCTCCCCCTCTGGTTGAGGTTGTTTCTGAGCCAAAGGTCAGGATGTTCTGATGACATCAGGGCAACAATGCCTTAGTTGAGGCAATCAGGTCAAGATCCAATCAGTTGCACAGGACTCAGCATGATCAAGGTAGCATTGTAAAGATTCAATCATGATCAATGATAGAGGAAACGAACATGAGTGCATTCTGCATGATCAACATGTAACATTTCCCTTACACCAGTCATGGTTAATGCTTGTGTGTCTGTGTGTGTGTCCAGCAGACCAAGCTTTTGTGACATTAGCGACAAATGACAGCTACGCCAGGGGAGCGATGGTTCTTGGGCAGTCGTTGCGAAAGCACAACACAACCAAGAAATTGGTTGTACTCATCGGGCCTCACGTCGCAGAACCCTGCAGGTAACGCACATCAGTGACGCCACCAGTCACACATTGATCCAACTATACAGTCATGTAAATCGTGTGTGTGTTGTAGAGGCGCACTTGGCTCCATTTTCGATGAGGTGTGTGTGGTGGACATCATGGACTCAGGTGATGTGGCTCATCTGGCCCTGATGAAGCGTCCGGACCTGGGAGTGACATTCACCAAACTGCACTGCTGGACTCTCACACACTACAGCAAGTGTGTGTTCATGGACGCTGACACACTGGTGAGACGCAAACGGAGAAAGAGATTTGGGCTCCACATTTTAAATGTGTTAAATACACGTTTCGTGAAACTTCAAGTCAGAAAGTGAGTAACGTTCTTTGAATGTGTCCAGGTGCTGTCAAATATAGATGAACTCTTCGAGAGGGAGGAGCTCTCCGCTGCGCCCGATCCTGGTTGGCCGGACTGTTTCAACTCTGGGGTTTTTGTCTTCAGACCGTCCAATGAGACGCACGAGAAGCTGCTCACGTTCTGTGGAGAAAACGGCAGCTTTGACGGTGAGACACGAATATTTTTTTTTCTCTCTTTCACAGGTCATCAGAGGATCGTTAGTCAGAATCTGAAGAAACCAGAAGAAATGAAAGACGTAACTGATTCAATCCACAGTTTTAAATGACATGGATGTTTTGTGGGTCAGACCTCAAACATACCGTCAGTCTGTAGAGGAGCTTTTTGAAACGTGGCAGCCACCAACCACTGGTCACTCACTTTATGCTGCATCCTCTCATAGCAATGCTGTTTGTCGGAGAGGTTCACAGTGTGAAGGGAAGCACTGATCACGGAGTATGAGAAAATATTGTGTGTGTGGTGTTTAAACATTTCGATTTATTGTAACATTGGATTCAAACAGCCATAAAAGTAGAGTATAAATGATAAATGGTTGTATCCTGTAGCGCAAAAGCTGAAACACAACTCTTTGCAGTCTGTCTAAATGAACCGTGAATGTGTCTAAAATTGTGTGTGTGTCCGTGTGTCCATCCGTGTGTGTGTCTTTGTCCGCAGGTGGAGATCAGGGGGTTCTCAACAGTTTCTTTAACACCTGGGCAACGGCAGATATTTCTAAACACCTCCCTTTCATTTACAACCTCAGCAGTGTCTCCATCTACTCCTACCTGCCAGCTTTCAAAGAGTCAGTACACACACACACGCATACTGCGGCTCCCTCTTTCCTTCTTTTCTTTCTCACGCTCTTCTTGTCATCTCACGGTCTTGTCACTTTTTAATTTGTAATTTGTTGGACAGGTACGGCAGTAACGCGAAGGTAGTGCACTTCCTGGGCAAGGTGAAGCCATGGAGCTACTCCTTTGACGCTGAGAAGGGCGAGGTCAGAGGTCACGCCCTGTCACCTGACCAGTGCCACCTGCACCCGGACTACCTGCTCATGTGGTGGCAGCTGTACTCCAAGTCTGTGCTGCCTCTGCTGCAGCAGGCCTACGGGGACACGCCCTTCAACAGCGGCTTCACAGAGGAGAGCCAGAAAGTATGTCACCACTCATGTTGGGGAAAGAATAGTGTGTGGTTATAGGCGTGGTTTAAATCATAAGTGAGGATTCCCGTCGAAAGTGTGTGTGTTTATTGCATAATTGTCCCGAATGTGTGGAAACCTCTAAAAACCCGATAAACTCACCTCTCTCTGGCAGGTATCTCAGAGGTGTGAATCTGTCATGTCATGGTGTGAATCTGTCATGTCATGGTGTGTGGGCACCGAGCTGTGACAGTGCCACATATCGGAGCTTTAAGCGTTTTCAAGCTCCAGATTAAAATGCTGGCGAGCTCCAGTCTAGTTGTAAAAGTTGATTGGTTCCACATTCCTCAGCTGAGGTCGGTTGCCTGTCCTGTCGTCGCTGGAACACAAAGGACGCCAGGCTGGCAACAGTCGTTCAGAACTTAACGCAGTAGCTGGAAGTTGCCATGTTGACTGTTGTAGCAACACTGTGGTGTTGCGAGTTGGTCAAAGGCAGATCTGTTGTGTCGCCAAATCCTGCAGCTTTGCTCATTTGCCTGAAGCTGAGTCTCATTGTGTCACGCTGACATGTTTATACAGACACCCGGTGTTTGTGCAGCGTTTTTCTGCCTCCACACAGACGACCTTGTGTTTTCAGGTTGTGTGTCTGTCCCACTCTCCTGAACATGACATCTCAGGGAGGAATTTCTTTAAATGTGCCACAAACATTCACTTATTTTTGGTAAAAGGTCACTGTGGCCTCCATATAACCCAGTTTTGGACACAATTTAAAAAACCTTTACTCAGTCACTATCTACAACAAATGTCAAATAAAAAACTGACTTGAGTGGTTGACGAAAACGAACAACAGCGAGCAGATATTCTTTTTTTTATTTTTCTCAGTTTCTTGTGACACTGTGCCAAGTAGAATGGCACTCGGTGATGTGTCTACCTCTGCCAAGGCCCAACAGTTTTAAACCACATTTGGATCTGCACCAAATTACTCACACTCAAATATCAGTTCCCTTAATATTTGTTTCATCAGGATTACTCACAAATGATTCTCTGGAAAATTGTCTGTAAGCAATTCTATGGAACTTGAGTACTAATTGGTTTCTTTTTTGGCCCATGTCCAGTCTTTCCATCAAGTTTTTGTGGAAATCGTTTTGTTTTTTTTGCGTAATCCTGCTGGCAATCAGACAAACTGGCACAGAGAGGTGAAAACATAACCTCCTTGGTGGCGTTATCACTGTGTGATCACTGTGACGGTTACACAACGATGACACACTGAATTTCCCCAAATTTCTCTTGAGTCTGAAGCAACCGGAGGTCGTTTCGTTAGCAGAATCTGAAGACAGTAGGTGACATTTATCAAATCAGACCAGGTTGGGCACCTAAGCCCCTCAGAGTTTCATAAGCTGTGTCTCAGTTCGGGGGCCACGTCCCTCAGAGGCTCCATTTTAAGGCCGAATACGTCACAGCAGCGTGACTAGGCTGTCCCCATTCGAAGGCTCCTCCAAATGCGGGCATCAAACGTGTCCTTCCACACTTGAGCAGCGGAGGCTCCACCAGGCGGATCCTTCCTGGCTCCAAATTATGCATTGAGAATATTTTGGCTTTTCTCAATGCAGAATTTACATCACCGAGGCTTTGAGTCCTGGTCCACTTGCAGAGTTCATGTCCTCTTCATCATCTCTTATCTGTGAGTGTCATAAAAAGTCTTGTTGCACTTTGACTCTTCTGATGAAACGCCTGCACATAACATTTGTGTCTCGAGGGAAGAAAAGAACAAATTCCCCCTGTGGGGAATCTGTGGCTGAGGGAAAGCCGAGCATGGCTGAACCTGGGGAAAATCCAGTCCTTATAAAGTATGGCTCTCACTTAAGGATTCATTGTCTCTCTCTCTTTCTCTGTCTCTCTGTCACGCAGGATAAGCTTCAGGAGGATGTGAGCGCACAGCCGGCGCCCTCTGCTCCTGCACAGAAGGTTTCCTCCGAGGAAAGGAAGCAGCGCTGGGAAGCCGGCCAGATCGACTACATGGGCGACGACTCCTTCGCCAACATCGAGCGGAAGCTGGACTCCTTCTTGAAGTAGCGGTTGTGGGTGAGGGAGTGCGACGGACGGATGGATGGAGAGAGAGAGAGAGAGAG